GTGACATCATCAAATGGAGAGGGAGTCTTAGTTTTAAGAGGTTCTTTAAGGTAGAAGAAGTATTTTTGTAATAGTTTAAAAACCAATAAGGTATATATTGAAATCTAAATGCTAAATACCACAGAAAATGGGTATATAAATAATTTTTAAATTTAATTTATAGTTAATTTATAACCCATCTGACTTTATTGGATATAGACAATACAGTTTCAAGAAGAGAGGACCATTTAATTATGAAATTTTACCTAAAATCTATAGTATCTATAGTAATATTGATCCTTTCTAGAATTAATTTTATGCCAAGTGATGATAGAGACTCCCCCTTTTTAATCAATAAATCAATTAACTCCCATAAATTACCCTAAAATCACGCCCAGCCAAGTGCCAGCCAGCCGAATCATTGATGAATCCCAACTAGCCGCAAGTCGAGGCCCTAAATCACTTGGTGTAATGCTCTTCAAATTAGCCTGCCATTTGTCAGATCAGTGTCCCTCCTGTCCCTCCTCTTGGAATATGAATCATTCCGCCTAATGAATGTGTCTGTCACTGGCTGTCAACACGTTGCTAAGGCAAAGCCAGAGCCAAAGTTTCCCCCCAGAAGCAGTGATCTTCCGACACCGATCGTATATAGTCTTGGGGTCCCTCCTTACTCCCAAAATATGAAATGGAGCAGGAGGTGGGAGGAGCAGCGCCTGGCTGGAGGCTATATTTAATGCAGAGTGACATTAATGTCAGGCACAATTAGTCGGGGTGGAAAAGCGGAAAAGCAAAAAGGCCAAAAAGGAAGAAAAACAGAGAAAAAGAAACAATCAAAAAACGATAAACGGAGGCGAGCAGAAAAATGGGCAACCAGAAATAATTTGACAGCCTATCTGGGGCTGCTGGGAGTATTAAGATGTTCCCCGGGTCTGATCAGCCACTGATGATCATTGATCACTTTGTTATTCCAGCTTCGATTTGATTGATTCAGTTCTCATTCTTTTCTATTTTTTGTGGTACGTGTGCGAACCCGCTGAAACCCTCTATTGTCTTGCCATTTTTTGTTGCCAATTCGTAAACAAACAATTACCCAAACAAAGCATCGATAGATACTTCTCCTCCGTCCAGGAGTCGCCTTATATCACCTTTCCGCAGAGAATAGAACGCAAACTCGAGCACGGTGGCATCCTCGATCTATATATCCCAATCCCAACTGTGCTATATCCCACATCCCATTGTCCGACCGACTTTAATCCCCGCCTGCGGCTTTGGATATCTCAATACCGCCACCCGTTACAGTTGCTCTTCGGATGCGCTCGGCTTGATCCCCTGATCTCTTTGTAGTCGTAATCCTCCGCCCGGGGACCGATAGCTATGCCTGCTAATTTATATAAAAAACAGCCTCCTTGCTAAATTGTTCCTTTTTTTCTAGTATATATCTCATTGCTGTGTTGACGCTTTTCTCACACAGTTCGACATGAGGCAGAGGCGGGGGAGACGCGTGGTATATGTGTATAAAGCGAATCGGATAAAAGATATAGCTGCGAATCGTGTTTATATTGAGGGAAGAGCAGAGCAGACAAGATTTTACAGTGGGTGGTTAGAGTGTATCAATGGTTAACTAGGAATTTGCGAATATTAGAGCATTTATAAGCAATAGAGGGTTCTTATAAAGGTTGTTTATAAATTTGTTATAATTAAAAGAAACCTTTCATATTTATTTTTAAATATAAATAATATTTTAAGCCGCTTTAAAATCAAATAAATAAAAACTATATAGGAGATTAAGGATTTTTCCTGTAAATGTTTAAATAAAATTCACATAAAATACCACCTTATCAATGACTATTTTATAATTTAAAAGCAATTTTTTAATCCTACTTAAATCGGTTATTAATATAGTTAAACCTTGTTCACAAAGTATGAAAAATATTCTTTCAATAATAAAGTAAGGAAAAGTCAGATAATATATCACAGAAATCTAGTCTTTATCTATTTCTTTGATCCATAAAAAGAGCTATCTTAACTAGGTGTTCGATTAAGGTAGCTTGTTGTATGGCTCATAATAATATTTATCTAAGTTTATCGAACTTTAATCTTTATGATTGTTCCAGAAAATCAAGTACTATCTTTATTATACCTATTCCCACACATCATAATATTCTAGATACAAGAAGCTCTTAATAGAACATAAAATCAAGTACTTATCTTTATACTTCTCATTACTATAATGTTATTGTTTTCCAATAAAAATGTATGATATCTGAGGGGAACTCGGATACCTGTTCTCCCTTAAGCACTGGCCACACCCACTGTGCCTCACTGCCTGCTTCCAAGGGGGCAGCAGGCTCCACTGTGCTGCCACAGTGGCAACCACATAAACGGGCACCGGCGGCGGCGTCTGCCGTTTGGGGGCGGCGAAGATCAAAGGCCAGCTAGCGGTGCCTGCAAAACGGTTAAATCTTTTGAAATGTGCGCACTTTTTGACACCCAATTTGTTTAGAAGTGTGCGCCGCCAGCTGGACCAAAGGGGAGCCTAAGGGGGGTTGGCTGATGGGGGAGGCTGTGCGAGCAGTTCATAAAATCGCAGCTACACAGGGGGAAAATATGCATATAATATATGCATATATCTGTATCTATTAGCCATTTTAATCTAAATTATAAATTGATCCTTAAAAATATTACTTAAAGATTAATGAATTATTATTACTTTCATTTTCATTATAATTTCAAAGCATCTTTGTATTTTTTGGTTTTTTTTAAATTATTTTAAGAAGATTTTATTCAAATAAAAATACAAAAAAGTATGCCAGAAGGATAATAAATATTGAATAAAATTCTTCAAGATTTTTCCTTAATTTTTGTAATCCTTAAAAGCCTTAATTTATCTCTCTGTAGAAAGGAAAACTATCTAAGTGAGAGCAGAGGGAGATGCAGCACATCAGTGGGCAACTTTTTCTGCGAATTTCATTAATAAAACTGTCGAAAGTGTTGGGCATCAAGTGCCTTGGCCCCCATCCCTCTGCCTCGATACCTTTGGACAGGTAAAACGGAACAATCAAACGAAACTTTTTGTTTTTAATAAAAATTCAAAAGATTTACATAGCTTCGCCTTGCTAGCCAAGTAATTCCACTTAAAATTCTGTAAAAGCAAAAGAAATCACTGATGAAGGAGGTGGGAGCTCATTCCACTTCATTCATAAAAACGAAGAGAGTGCGAGAGGCAAACGCTTAATTAAGAATTTTTCCAAATAAAAATGCACAAGTACTTGGTGGAAATGGGATAATAATAAGTTTATTGATTTGGGAAATGCCACAAACCGGATGTTTATACGCTGCACACATCATCATCATCAGGGATCGGCTGGGATCTTAAGCAACGTGTGAATTGCAACGGGATTAACAGGCTCAACCGCAGCCGGAAGAAACCCGATATATCCCCACAGTATTTGCCATTTTCCCACTGGCCAAATCCTGGCCAGCAAGTTGGTAAGTCAATCCGCCGCTTAGCCAGTTTACGGAATTTCCCTGGATGGCCATTCTCCGCCAAAGTCAAAACATGCGGTTCAAGTTGGGAAAAGACCCGAGCGGTAACCCACCCAGGAGGTCGTCGGAGGCTGGATTTATTTAGACAAAATGACTTTGCAAATGAGATTCGGCCCGCACAGTCCTGGCCACCGAAGATGTCAATATTATCATGGGATGTGTGGTGGGATGTGCAAACAGCAGCCAGGACTACCTGCTGCTGGCGACCGGAGGTGTGCATAGTTTCGGTTAATTTCCAACACCTCCCCGGCACTCGACTCGCGCAACGTGACCTGTGGCCCCGGGGCTGGATTTGGATTGGGTTTTTGGGATCGACTGAATGGGTGTCCGAGCTGCCAAGTGCCGCATGTAGCCGTAATCGATGTGATTAGGCCGTGCCGGGGCCTATGGCCTAACCCTTGGCCCCCATGGACGAGCAATCAATAATTCCCAATCGCCCGACCCGGGCAACTCGGTGACGTATTTGGACAGCCACTGACAGCCAAGCAGGCCCAAAAGAAACAACCAAGATCGTTTGGGAAATTGACCAGACGAAGATCAGGTACTCTTCTTGAATATTTAAATTTAAATTTAGTTTCCCTTAAAAATTTGTTGAAGAACTTTCCCTGAGGAAAAAGAAAAAATTAAAAAATATTCTATAAAATCTCATCTATTAAATATAAATTTTATTAAAACCCTCCTAAACTCTAGTGAATACTTTAAGGACATTTGTTCCCTTTCGCCTTTTGCCAGTTCAAAAAAATGTATAAATTAATATTTCACCGTTTCCAGACTCAACTGCAGCTTAAACTTCACTTTTAAATTTAATTTGGACATATTTCATAGATGATTCCACATACCCTTCCCACCAAACAGAGAAGCAACTCGTCTTGGGCCAGAAATAACTGGATGACTCGGCGGGAAATGATTGTTGGCGAGGCCCCCGGGGGCGAGTTGGGAGAAGGAAATGAGCTGCACTTAAATGCATGCGAGAAAACCACTCGATGCCAACAAGTGGATAAGAAGCCACCACACAAATGATGCCCAAACGAACTATCAATGTCAGTGAATTGGCAAAAAATTTAAACTCAATTTGTATGCAGGCCAGCGGAGTGTCGAGGCGAGGAAAACCCTTTAGCTTGGCGAGAGCGAGCCACGCTGACACACCTCAACGAGGGGCGTCGTAGCGACTGCAGCTGAAGTGGGTCCACCGCATCCAGGTCTGCTGCGGCATTAATTTTAATGTGCCAGTGTCGGACACCCAGTTGGATCGGGATCGTTGGATCGGGATCGCTGCTAAGCCGCTAAAGCATGCGTAACAATGGCCAACACGAAATCTTAATGATCGCTGAGCCAAGCCAAGGAGGAGTCCATGACCAGGCACATTTTCGAATGCCCTAAAGAGAGCTCTGGCTGGCGAGTGTGCTCCATTCATTGATTCATTGAGGTCGGAGGGCCCCTAAATGAAGTGCTCCAGGCAAAGGATCGCTGCGATATCGGTTTTCTTGTGTTTATTATTTCATTTTTCGTACATGGATTGTATGGATCTTCCTCTCTGCCTATTCTTATTTCTAAATACCATATATTAAGCGCTGGCGAATGAGTTTCGGAACATATTGTTTTGAATTTGCAGCCAACACAGTTGTTAATCAATATATCAATATACAGGGTGCGTAATAATAATAGTACAGACAATATAAAAGATAAGATAATATATAATTTTAAAGCGAATATAACGTATATGCACTTGTTCGGTGAATACTCCTTGCCTTTGCCTTAGTTACCGAGTTGCTCGATCTCTAGCCAAGTAGTGGAAGTGGAGGTTTAAGGTTTTTTTCTGAAGCCACAAATGCGCCTAAGGTCCAAGGGTGGGGTGTGTTAGGGGGTTAGGGGCCTGTATGCGGCAACTCTTGTCTTTTCACAACAATATTTACTAGTTTTGGTTTGAATGATTCGGATTTAGCTTAGTTCTTGAACTGAAAGACGAGTATCAAGATGACGACCAGCAGCACGGCGGCCAGGATGCCCACCAGGATCAGCTTCTTCTTGCGCACCTTGTTCTGAAAAGTCAAAGGGACATATAAAACGATTCCCAATACGAAAATGATGCCAACCTACCCTGTAAGAGCTCGCCTTGCGCAGATTCTCGGTGCCCTGCGAAACGAAAATGCTTGTCTGCTCCACCTGCGACTCAATAGAGTCCACCGTCAGTCCCTGCTCGTAGACCAGGGCCCCCAGCTTCTTGTATATCTCGTTGACGCCCACAATATTGCTCTCCAGCTCTCGGATGACCTGCTCCTGCTCCTCAAGCGCCTGCAGATCCGCCTGCTCCTGCATCTGCGTCTGTATCTGTTGCTGCTGCTGGTTGTTTGATTTGCGATTAAAGAAATTGTCCTCGAAGAAGGAGTCCTGCTGACTGGCACTGCTGTTAGAGCTGCCGGTGCGCGAGGAGCCTGGCGGCCGGGCAATGTTGTAGCTGTCCCCCCGCGCCTGCCGCAGCGCGCTCTTCTCTATGTCCGCAGTCTTGCGCTGGACGGCCTAAAAATACGAAATCGATAAACATTTGGACATGACTCACAAAGGCGTTTTGCTTATCTCGCAGCCAAGGGAAAGAAGAAAACAAAAAACAAACCTGGAAGGCGGTCAGTGCCGCCGTGAACTCATCGACCAGTCGGTCCCGTTGGATCTTCAGGTGGCGCTCCTTGCACTTGTCCACCTCGTTGATTTGATTGTTTGTGTCGGTCACCAGCTGATTGGTGTAGGTCATTATTTGATGGCTGTTTGAGGGAGAGAAAAATTAAGAGAAATGTTTACTAAATACAGAATAGGTTTTGAAGGATGAATCACACGGGAATGTTATAGTTTTTAGATGGCAACGAATGATTTAAGGGAAATTTAAGCAAATTATAAACATTTCTGTCTTGCAAATTGAAATTTTCTTATTTTTACATAACTTTTAATAGATTTCTTTGCATATCTTGAGAAAATGTCGTTATAAAATCTAACTCACAGTTGCTTCTTCAGTTCCGGGGAATCCTGGGGCGTGTTCAGTTGATTTACCATGCGCTGCATGGTGGAAACTATTGGCCAAATGGGGATTAGTCATTGGGGAAAGTTGTAAAAGAAACAGCTTTACGGGAAACTCACCATTCTGCTGCACCTTCTGGATGCTGGTGGCTATGATTTGCGCCAGCCTTTGGAAGTCTATTTCACTGAGACCACCGCCTCCACCTCCACCTCCTCCTCCTCCGCCCCCTCCACTGAGGCCATTCTCCATATGCTGCAAGTCCATGCTTTCGTAGGCAGACACCTTGCTGACCTTCGGTTATTCCCTGGCGCAACGAGCAGCGTTCACGCTCGTGTTCCTGGACTGGCAATCGAATTAGTTGCTTGGCCTTTCAACTTATATCACTTTCTGCGTCTCAGCCAGGTTCTCTGTTTGTTTGTCAAGATGTTTGACGGTGTGTGTGTTTGTGTGCGCGAGATGTTTGCTTTATTCGGTTGACTCGCCCCTTTGTTTGCTGCCACCCACAAGCCTTGTGGCCTCCTGATGCTGTCTGTTCGGTGACCTTCGTCAATTATACGTAGACTAACACATTTCCGCAATTTAAACGTAGAAATTTGATAATTAAAGCCGATAAAACTTTGCCAAATTGCAATTTTTTGTCTTTTATTAGGTGCAGTGTGGCCGTTTGATGGAAAGTTAACTTATTCCTAAAAAATATCAAAAAGTTGAAAGTCCCCACTAAAAACTCCAGTATTTTTTCTTATGGTCTGGCATCGCTATAATACATGGAGCGTGTTTTTAAATAATAATAATTATAATATAATAAATAAATAATAATAATTATAAAATAATTAATAATTAGTCAACAGTCTTAGCATACTGTTGTACTTTTTTTAATATTCTTAAATTTATTAAATTCCAAAATAGAACTTTCCAAATAAATAAAATAAATTTATTTATAATTTGATAAAATATTTTTAATCTCAATAGAGCTTCTTTTTTTTAGGTTCTTATATTTATTGGTAAATTCCTTATATTGTTTATCAAAAAAGTCAAACAATAAATTAAATAAAAATTTACAGCCCAAAATGCAATTACTTAACTGTATCGCTTACTTACAAAAACCAGTAAATTCCAGAGCCTTAGAACTGGTAGACAAATTAAGTGCAACCTGTTTGTTTTTTTGTTAAAAACAAAAGCATCAGACTTTCATTCAAGTTAATAAACAATATACACAAAATGCAACCAGTATCCGGTGTTAGAATCTTTTTAGGGGTTAATGAACCCATTTCTACAATCATTTCGATGCACATTTTAAATGAGACAAATTAAGTTTGGAGATATATTTCTCTACTAATTACATCATCTTAACCTTTATGCAAATGATGAATGCAACAGAAACCTGATTTGAGAAGAAACAAACATATAATCAGGCTAAAATATGCATCTGAAATTTAAATAGTTCATTTTAGAAGCTTTCTAGTGCAGGGGCGGGCCCTTATTTATTGCCTGAGGAGCGCTTTGGTAATTTGTCTCGCATTTCGGTTGGCTTATAAATAAGCATCTCCGGCCGAAATGCGGCTTAGTCGGTCCGTAGACCTGGTAACGGTTGGTAACGCTAAAAAGTTGACTTGATCGAAATTCCGTACGACAATGAGTGCTCTCCGGTTCTGGTTGCCACTTGTTGCCCTCCAGCTCACGGCGTGTACTTGTCAATATAGATATGGGCCAGGTGCGTGACGACATTATCATCATTATCACCATCAACGAGCAAAAGATCGGGCCCCAAGAGTGAGAGTGCGCGGCCGAAAGCAAACACGAAACATATGCAGAATTGATTAATCAAGTACTAAATGGAATATAGAAGGCGTCAGAGAAATAAATTAAATTAAATAATTGACACCACGCTTCGGCAACAGTGCTGTTGAAAACCAAACTGGAAAAAAGGGAAAGAAATTAGGAAGATAAAAAGGGTTTTATAAGAAACAATAGAATAATAAATCTATAAAAAAATAAATAACCAAAATGTGATCTATAATAAACTAAATGTTTATAAATCTTCTGAACACGTTTAACTGAATGTATTACTTTTATTACATTTCCAAATTGTTTTTATTTCGTTTTCCATTAGACAATTAATTTCTTTTCTGAATACAATTTCACTTTTAAACAATTGATTCGAAAGCGGAGTTTAAAACAAAGCAGTTGTGCTCAGGTATTTCGTAAAAAACCGAAACAGATGTGAACAGAATATTAAAATTCTCCCAGTTTGTACTTGAACTCATTAGCATATTCAGCTTTTACAGTAAAGAGGCTTCATTTTAAAAGCAACTTCCGAATTTAAAGCATATAATTTTTTGAAGATATTGTAATTTCGGCTAGAAACCCCCTTTTAATTAAGATTCCTCTTAACTCTTAGAGCGTTCCTGGGATCTGCGTTCCACTGCGGAGCTGAAAAGCAAAGAGTTTTGGTTTCACGATGCCCAGCGAACACTTTACGAGAAGCTATCGACGCCTCCGAATCAATATCGGGCCAAAAATGTGATCTTCTTCCTGGGCGATGGAATGTCCGTGCCTACGGTAACCGCGGGACGCATCTTCGATGGACAACTTAGAGGAGTGGTGGGAGAACGAAACCAGCTGGAGTTCGAAAAGTTCAACTATGTGGGGCTTTCCAAGGTAGGCTAAAATCTGTACTCCACACGATCATCTCTAAAGAATCTACGCAATCATGTGTTAATCTAATTAATTGCTAATTAATTTAGGAAAATTATCAAAAAATATGTGTGAAAACTACTTGCGAAAGCCGCCTTAACCTGCCTGCTTCTCCATTCTAGACGTACTGCGTCAACAAACAGGTGGCGGACTCTGCCTGCACAGCCTCTGCCTACCTGTCCGGAATCAAGGCCAATTACCTGACCATTGGAGTGACAGCCGACGTGGAGTTGAACGACTGTCCCGCCGCTCGAAATCCCCAGAATCGCCTCTCCTCCATAGCCGAATGGGCGCTCAAGGGTGGCAAATCCGCTGGCTTGGTGACCACCACCCGGGTGACCCATGCCAGTCCAGCTGGGGTTTATGCTCACACCTCAAATCGCGACTTTGAGAGCGACTATGACGTGACCAACCTGGGCCAGAATCCGGGCAATTGTCCAGACATTGCCCAGCAACTGATTGACGGCGGAGTGGGCAGCCGACTCCGGGTGGTAATGGGTGGCGGCACCATCAAGTTCCTGCCCAACTCCACCACGGATGTGTACGGCAACACGGGTCAGAGGCTGGACGGAAGGAACCTCATCGAGGAGTGGCAGCAGAGCAAGCCCGGCAATGCCCGAGTCCTGTTCAATCGCACCGATCTCCTGAACACCGATCCGCAGGACACGGACTTCCTGCTGGGTCTCTTCAACTCCTCCCACCTGGCCTATCACCTGGACGACAGCGTGGACACGCCCACCTTGGCGGAGATGACCTCAACCGCTATTAAAGTGCTCTCCCGCGACCCCAATGGTTATTTTCTGTTCGTGGAGGGCGGTCGCATTGACCATGCCCACCATGAGACCAAGGCCAAGAAGGCTTTGGACGAGACTGTCCAGTTTTCGGAGGCAGTTCGCAAGGCCCGCCAGCTCACGAATCCCTGGGACACGTTGATCGTGGTCAGTGCTGATCATGGGCACACGGTCACCATCAGTGGCTATCCGGATGTGAACAACAGCATTGTGGGACTTAACTCGGAGCTGAGCAACGTTGACCAGTTGCCCTACACCGCCATTTCCTATGCCAATGGTCCGGACTACGATAGGTTCTATAAATCTACGGATGGGGAGGTGGAACGTGTAGATCTCCGGACTTTGGATTTTACGGATCGGGATGCCATCTATCCGCACGGCGTGCCTATGACCGAGGAGACTCATGGAGGTGGCGATGTGGCAGTCTATGCGCACGGTGAGTTTGGTTTTTTATTAAACTTTAAATATAGTTTAAAGTTTAAGTGTTTCTGCCCTTTACAGGACCTTGGTCGCATCTCTTTACTGGCGTTTACGAGCAAAGCACTTTGCCGTATATGATGGGGTTTGCCTCCTGCCTGGGACCGGGAATTACGTACTGCGATCTTCAGCCAAAGCCGGTTTACAGGGCTTAGTAGGTAACTTATTTATATTAAACAAAATAAATAACGGAGGTGCGAAAAACAATAAAATAGAAATAAATAAATTGAAGATTCATTTTGTAGTTTTACATTAATTATGAATTAATTATGACTAAATTTGTAACTCGTTTAATGGAAAATTTTGAATTTACACCGTTTGGCTGAACCGGTAAACATTTAGTGTGCCCAGAGAAAGAAATTTTCGGGATTTTTGAGATTTTTTAGGGAAACCAATTTTGCACCTGGCCACACTGTACCACACCGCTCCGCCATTTTAGCTGAAAACTTTTGCAATTTTTCGGACAAGAGCACGCGAAGAATGTAAATAATTGCGAGATTACATACGGACGACAGCGAGCAACGGCCAGTGACTAGTTAATTGCTTTAAGGCTGATCCGTGGTTAAGTGTGAGAGCAGCGCGCCGCCGGTTTCGATTCCGGCTCCGGCTCAGGCAACTGTACGAGGCGCGTGTGCGAGTGCGACAGAGACGGACGGTCCCGTGTGCCTGTGTGTGTGTGTTTGTAGGAGCGTGCAAAAGTGGAAAATAGTATTTACGCCAAGAGAGAGGAGTTTTCCCGGCTCAGGATGGCCGACGTGGTCTTGGACTTGTACGCCGAGGACCTGGACAAAGACTTTGCCGGTCAGGCTCAGGTAAGCGAGTAGCTAGAGCTAGAATAGCGAAAACTCGCGCCGCCTTGCGCGTGTGTATGTATACAGTAGGGTGGGTCGATAAGTGCGGCGGCGAAAAAAAGTAGGGGTGAAATGCGGTGATCCAAGGAGTTTGAGTTTGAGCTCGATATTCTTCGACCGGATATTCCAAACTATCAAGGCTGCCAGTCGATCCACCTTGCCCTACGCTGAATGAAGGGCTTGCCTCATGCTTCATTTATTCCTTCCTTTTAACAGGACGAGTTTGGCGGCGATGGCGTCGATTTGTATGATGACATTGGCGGCCCCACAGAGGCAGCCGCCTCGGGTGGCGGCGGCGGCGGCACACCCTCAGCGGACGGAGCCGCCGGACCCGGCTCCGGGGAATCGGCTTCCAGCGGCGCTGGCGGTCCCAATGGAGTTTACCACCAGGGCGGTGGTAGCCTCACTCCGACCATGAACCGCCGCTACCAGCTCTACGTGGGCAATCTCACCTGGTGGACCACCGACCAGGATATTGCAAATGCACTCCGCGACATCGGCGTCGGTGACTTGCAGGAGGTGAAGTTCTTCGAGAATCGGGCCAACGGGCAGTCGAAGGGCTTCAGTGTCATCTCGCTGGGCTCGGAATCGAGCCTGCGAGCCACTCTAGATCAGCTGCCCAAGAAGGAGATGCACGGCCAGGCGCCGGTGGTGACGTATCCCAGCAAGCAGGCGCTCACCCAGTTCGAGAGTCTGCAGAAAACGCGTCCGGTGCCGCCGCCTCAACAGCAGAACGGTCCGCCAAGGGGTCCGTCGCTGCCCAGCATGGGAAGTGGTCCGATGCCATCGCATCCGGGCGGGCCGCAAGGTGGAGGGCCACCGGGTCATCCGCCGCGCGGCATGAACAGCATTATGCAGCCGGGGGGACAGTACCGGCCGCAGCACATGTCGCAAGTGCCCCAGGTGGGCGGACCAAACTCGGGACCTCCGCGTATGCAGGTGTGTTGAAATTCTATTAGTCCCAGCATCCCGAGCCCCTAAGTCTCATTTGATAGTATTTGTCCCGCTCCCTAGTCCCCTCCCCCAGTCTCTTTGGTTCTTCTTCTTCCTCATATTATCTTCCATTTTATTATCTTTCTTTTTTATTTCCATTAAAATTGTTCTGAATGCAAAATTTTGATGATATATATATTGATTTTGTACAGGTCCAGGTTACATTTAATCTGGCCTTAAGTAACTTTAGAACACGTAGCTCTTACGACTTGGATATGAAGTTTATGCGAAGGTGCTCCCCACTAGCAAATATCCGCCAGTTACTCAAGTAACTTTCATCATAAGTTTAGATAAGTTAGCAGCCAAGCTGTGTATCTTGTTCGGATGTAAAAAGAGCTCGCAAAAGGCTTTTGACTGTTTTTCTCTATAGATGTGATTTTGAATAAGCTTAAAAAAGGAAAGAGAAATCGGTTAACTGTCTATTTACAAGCTCTGGTTGAGAGCCATCGCACAAAAACCAAGTAGCTAAGATTGTAGTTTTGTTTATGATTTTAAGTACTATACGTAATATGTTGTTTTGGTTTAATTACAAGTAAAACTTCAGAGCAATTTTGTTTGTAAAACACTCCTCTCATTCTAAGACATTCTGTATTCTCTTTATTTCCTAAACTTGCTAAGCGGTAGATCTCAAAAAAATATATAAAAACTGTAAAGGATTGAAATCAAGAGTCGCTGTAAGATCTACCTGTGTATATTGTTTATGCTAGTGCGAGTACAATTGTATTGTAATTACTCCCAATGTTGTTTATATCAAATGTTTTTGTATTACGCTTCATATATTTATGTTCTATTCCATGTCTTTGACAACGCTTACGCACACTTCTTCCCCACAACAACCAACCAACCAACCAACTACTACTACTTCTACTACAACATAAACGTAATTCGTATTATATATATATAGCCGCCGATGCATCCGCAAGGCGGGCTCATGGGCAACCAACAGCCGCCACCACGGTATCCATCAGCGCAGGGCCAATGGCCAGGTCAGCAAAGGCCAGGCGGACCACGGCCAGGTCCACCGAACGGACCGCCGCAGCAGCGACCAATGGTAACAAACCCCCCAAAAACAAAAAAAAAAGCACAGAGTCCACTTATATAATCGTTATACTCTATATGTATATACTAACGAAGCCAGAGGGCGATAAACAGAAAAGAAGACTAACCACCGAAACTTAAGTTAACCTTAGTTAACTCAGTCTTAAGCGATGTGTATTCAGAACATTTAAAATAATGCCATGCCACAGATCAGCTCAGCCCCATGCAACCCATGCAGCACCTTCTCATTCCTCAGCCCTAGATCATCCACCATCACAGAGCGTGTCACTAATCCCAATCTCTTATTTCCAGTTCCAGGGAGGACCCATGGGCATGCCGGTAAGAGGTCCACCGGGTCCCGATTGGCGTCGTCCGCCCATGCACGGCGGTTTCCCGCCCCAGGGACCGCCGCGTGGCCTCCCGCCGGCGCCAGGTCCGGGTGGACCACATGGCGCACCCGCTCCTCACGTAAATCCGGCATTCTTCAATCAGCCCGGTGGTCCCGCTCAACATCCGGGCATGGGTGGTCCACCGCATGGTGCTCCTGGTCCGCAGCCTGGCATGAATATGCCCCCGCAACAGGGCATGAATATGCCGCCGCAGCACGGACCGCCGCCTCAGTTTGCGCAGCATGGACCACGCGGTCCGTGGCCGCCGCAGCAGGGTAAGCCACCGGGTCCCTTCCCAGATCCCCAAATGGGTCCCCAGCTCACGGAAGTGGAGTTTGAGGAGGTGATGAGCAGAAATCGAACAGTTAGCAGCTCGGCGATTGCCAGGTGAGTGGGAAACTATTGAAATTTCTTTAAGTTTGGTAACTACTCCTCTTTCAATGATTTCACTTCAACTCTTACGTCATATTGTTTGTATAAATAGGGCGTATGCTTACGCTTTGGTTCTTCATTAGTTATGCGCATTTACTTATACGCATTCTTTGACTTTTCAGAGCTGTTTCCGATGCCGCAGCCGGTGAATATTCGAGCGCCATCGAGACACTGGTCACGGCAATTTCCCTGATCAAACAGTCCAAGGTGGCGCACGATGAGCGCTGCAAAATCCTGATCAGCTCGCTGCAGGATACGCTACACGGAATCGAGGCCAAGAGCTACAATCGGCGCGAGAGGTCGCGTTCCAGGGAACGATCCCACCGCAGTCGTCAGCGACGCGAGCGCTCTACGTCCAGATATCGTGAGCGTTCAAGGGAGCGCGAACGTGATCGTGATAGGGAGCGTGAGAGGGATGCTGGGTAAGTGCTAGATAAGATAGGAAAATCTTAAAATATGAAAGAAACGTTCAACAACATTCTTGAAATCGATCATTCTGCATGTATTAAACTTATGTATTTTCCTTGTTTTTCCCCTCAGCTATCGTGAGCGGTCTCGCAGCAGAGAACGGGAACGTCAGGCCCCAGATCACTACAGGGATGATAGGTAAGATTACTGAAAGTCATAGTAATTATTATAATTAATTCAATATTAAACCAAACACCCAACAGCCGCTCGGCACGTCCACGAAAATCACCAGAGCCCGTAGTGGCCGAGGCTGCAGAGGCACCTTCTTCGAAACGCTACTACGAGGACCGCGAGCGGTATCGCTCCTCGGATCGGGAACGGCGTGACCGTGATCGGGACCGTGACCGCGAGCGAGAACGTGACCGTGACAGGCGTGAGGAGCATCGCTCCAGGCATTGACTGCCGGAGATGTTTGAAGCGAAGGAGGAGGAGGAGCAGCAGCGTCTGTGGCAATGGATACGAGAGTAAAGATACAACACACAGATACATATACTAAACACACACACACACTATATTAACAAATAACAAGCAGCCACAGAGCTTGGTGGGAGGACAAGCTGGCCGCCACAATTAAAAGATTTTCGATTTGTATCTAACATTACCAATACGTAGGATATGAACATATGGCATACAGCATAAATAGTTCCCTCTAGACATACTAAAGTAAGCCGAAATGCTAACAAGTCTCCACCAACGACGGACGGGACTGTCTCCGCATCATCCTGGTCTCCCATCTCAGCCGTAGCAGTAGCAGCCACACCAGCAGCAACAGCGGCGGATGGAGCATCGGAGGAGGATGGGGCAGTCAGCGTGGGACTCTTTGGACACTGATGAGCACTGGATCATCAAACTACGAACAACTAGCAATCCTGCACCGCCATCTTCGCAGCAGAAATTCAATTTTATTGTACTCTTAATATTTCGGTTTATTTAATAAAAACATAAACGTATGAAAAAAGAATTGTTCAAAAAAAGGAAAAAAAAGAAAAGTAACCTTTACCAAAACTTTCTTGCATTGTGTGTGTCTCTCTCTCTCTTGTACTCTTTTTATAAAACCAAAGACCTAATATTATTAGTTAACGAATTTATATATAATTGTACAACAACAAAATTGTATGTAAAAATGCAACAAGAAGCGATATTGAAATTGTTATATTAACAAAAATCGTTAGCCCTAATGTACTTCCATTGAGATTACGAGGTTCTTTTGTTGTAAACACTCCTCATATTTATTTTATTTATTTATTACCATAAACTATGCTTAAGTCGATCGATCCATATATATATTTGTGGTGTGCATGTGACGGAGAGTGAGTGCAGCATTTACAAATGTGGGAAAACTTGGCCGAAAAATGTTTATATAGAAATAAGTCGAGTGTGAGTGTGTGTTATCCGCCTTCAAGCCCATGATTTCTAGACTAAATTATACTCTTATAAGCAAGTCATAACCGCATTTATCGTAGCGTAATCTACTAACGCTCGAATTTTATGTAGTTCCTAACATAGGCTCGAACTTAAAGTAATCGCGGCTCATTTTATGCCACCTAGCAGCACCTCCTATTGTATCATCTACATTTTACGTTTCTTACAAATTTTAGCTTTACTTTTTATTTGTACATACACTTTGTAAACGATACTCAGACTAAGATCATGCCGCACTAACCCCCTAATTACGATTACTCGAAAGTACCTGTAACTCGAGACTAGGTTGTTTTTGTATAACGATGTCTTGTACAACTTAAACTGTGATTTGTCATCTTGATGAAACGAAACTGCCAATGAAATTATGCAAACGTAAATCAGTCTGTTAAGTCCATGCCAGAACAGGTAATGTTTTAATTTAGTTTTGGACAAATACATAACTCTGCAGTATGTTTATTTTTGAGAAAATTATATCTGATTTGGTTAAATGGTGCCAAAGGCTCCTAAATAAAAATCAATATTTCTAGACCTTTTAAAACTCGTTACTTTTCAAAACGAATTAGGAAGTGCGCGCAAATCAAGCCCACGTCATTGCGTTTCTGTAAACATCTGGAAGGTTCCAAGGCGTTAGCCAGCACTGAACAGGTGAGAAAAGCCAAAACAATGGCTTATAACCGGTGTTGAGCTCTAAAAATATCTAGTTTTAAATACATTTTTACTTGCTTTTAAAAAAATTTGCTATAAATTTGCGTTCTTCAATTTAGTTTGTTTTCAGGGTTTTTCTCGTAATTTTTAAAGTTAAAATTATATTAAAAATATAAATAATTTTCCATATGAAACCTAACAAATCTAGCCATAACAGAAAAAAGCCAACAGAGCAGCACTATCCCCGTCGTCGTATTGCCCCTTCGCGCCGCTACCCAACACTGAACTCTGATAAAGGCGAAGAAAATTTTGTGAAATACACAGAAACGAAAATAAGCAGGCGCTGGAAGAGTAAACAAGTCAGTCCAAAGCTTCAGTTAAACAGCTCCAGTTCACTTTACTCCTCCGTTTGATCGTCACCCGGAATCAGAACCGATATAGAGTCGTCGAGTGTGTAAAAAACCAAAGACCCAAAATGGAAGAAACTATGAGCAACCTCAACGAACGATTCCAGACTTTTGTTAACGGACTAGGCGACCGTTAGTAAGTATTCCAGGTCCAGGTCGGAGTCCGGCGGGCCAAATGCGTCATATTACATGACGTGTTGTTTTGGCATCGGACCACATCAACAGTTGGTCGCCTGTGGATCGATGGTCCTTGAAACTAATGACTGCTTCCCCTGCTCCTACTTCTCCTTTCCTCCCCCCAGTGAGCCGTACGTGCGCGAGCACCTGTCCAAGGTGTACATGGTCTTGGGCAGCACTGCCGCCGCTACCGCAGTGGGCGCCCTGCTCCAGATGCGTGGTTTCCTCGATCTTGGCGTCCTGGCGGCGGTGGCCACACTAGTCCTTGTCCTGGGCCTGCACTTTTACAAGGATGATGGCAAAAACTATTGCACGCGTCTCAGCATGCTATATGCCTTTGGTTTCTGCTCTGGCCAGACTCTTGGACCGCTTCTTGGTTACATTTGCAGCATCAATCCGGCCATCATCCTCTCAGCTCTTACTGGTACCTTTGCCACCTTTGTTACGCTCTCCCTGGCCGCTCTGCTGGCAGAGCAGGGCAAGTATCTTTATCTGGGCGGGATGCTGGTCAGTGTCATCAATACCATGGCCCTGCTGAGTCTCTTCAACATGATGTTCAAGTCGTACTTCGTGCAAGTGGTGAGTGGGGAAACTCTAGTAACTGGTGGAAGAGGCACCTTTAATATGTATAAACAATCATAAACAAATATGATTATCTATGCATAAGTCAAGGTCGTTTATTTGTGTTATCTTTGGAAGTAGTTTGCAGTACAGTACAACTTTTATAAACAATATTATGATATATAGAAGAGGATATTGATTTATAGATATATAACTTTAGAAATCATTTTCTTTATAAACATAGAGGTTTAAGGATTTCCGTATTATAAGCTTTTAATCTGCAATTTATAGATGTACCTTTTCCACTTTATGAAGCCTTTACTGTATTATTAATTATTATACCTTTAAAAAATAATCTAATCATTGCGCTTCCGTTTAATCCCTAGACTCAACTGTACGTGGGCGTGTTCGTGATGGCCGCCTTCATCGTCTATGACACCCAGAACATAGTGGTGAAGTGCCGCAATGGCAACCGAGATGTGGTCCAGCACGCTCTGGATCTGTTCTTCGATGTGCTCAGCATGTTCCGCCGTTTGCTGATTATCCTGACGCAGAAGGTAAGGTCAACCATCCCACCAAACCATCCATCGATTAGCCTCTATAGCCGCCTCACACAGCTCAAGACCTTCATGGTTTAAGGCGGATATAATCTCCGAACTAGGATCGCTGAACACTTTGCAAAAAAAGATAGTTGAAAATTCAAAAATTCCTTGTCAAACGGTATTTTTATGTGCAATAAGTATACTTTCACAAAGTCAGGCTTATAGGGAACTCTGCAGTTTTTCTTTAACCTCTTTTTGGGGGAAGTATATTTATTTCCAAACGAACCGATCGATCAATTTCTTGCAAAGTTTTCCGCTTGTTTTTGTGAAACTATAGTTATGACCTTTTGCCTTTTGGTTTTGATCCAATTTACTAATTGTCATCAATCTAATTGCAGGAGGAGCGAAAACAGAATGAACGCCGCAAGAGAAACTAAAGCTGGAAGACCTAGAAGGGTTTTAAGGTCCGTTGGCTGTTTTCTCTTTTTAAAATTTTATGGGCATAGTAAATAAAAACAGGCCGTGTAAAATTTGGCTATAAAAATTACAAAGTATAAGCAAACAAAACGGTCGTAATGTAATAATTAACCCCCAAACAAGTTTCCTATTTAATAAAAAGCACTAATACCCCACCACTTGTCAGTAGATGTGTTATGTTGATAGTATTGATTCCTGGTGGGGGGCCCAAATTAATCAGGCTAAGTGCAAGGTGCAGGTTATAGTAAAGTCCGTCTCAGTTGGTCATTCCAAGTTAAGCTTACCAACGGTTAACAACCATGGCGCGGGAGCAGTCATCGGAGGCAGCAGCAGTGCAACCTCTCCTAGAGCAATTCCAGCAGCTCTTTTTCATCTCTAAAATAGTAGGGATTCTGCCGCAGGATCTGGACAAGTTTCGCTCAAGGAATGTTCTAGAAAAGTCGCGCAATGGCATGATTTACATGCTGGTCACCTTGGTGGTATATGTGCTGCTCTACAATGTCCTCATCTACTCCTTCGGGGAGGAGGACCGCACGCTCAAGGCCTCGCAAAGTCAGTGGAGCATGAAAATTGATGCTTATTATTTGCTTAACATTTCCCCCCACAGGCACCTTGACCTTCGTCATTGGCCTGTTTCTCACCTACATTGGCCTCATTATGATGGGCACCGACCAGTTGACCGCTTTGAGGAACCAGGGCAGGATTGGCGAGCTCTATGAGCGCATACGCCACGTGGACGAGCGCCTGTACCAGGAAAAGTGTGTGCTGGACAACAGCACCATTGGACGTCGCATCCGTATCATGCTCGGCATGACAATCATCTTTGAGCTCTCCATTTTACTGGCCACCTACATTAAGCTGGTGGACTATACCCAATGGATGTCGGTGCTGTGGCTGGTCTCCGCCATACCCACGTTTATCAACACCTTGGACAAGATCTGGTTTGCCGTCTCGCTATATGCTTTGAAAGAGCGCTTTGAGGCCATCAATGCTACGCTGGAGGAGCTGGTGGCCACGCACGAAAAGTTTAAGCTCTGGCTGCGAGGTGATCAGGAAGCGGCGGCGGCTCCTCCGTTGGACAGCTCCCAGCCTCCCCAATACGACAGCAATCTGGAGTATCTGTACAAGGAGCTGGGAGGATTGGATATGGGTTCCATAGGCAAGGGTAGTTCCATGTCCGGTTCGGGGAAGAACAAGGTGGCGCCGGTGGCCCACTCCATGAACTCCTTCGGCGAACCCATCGACCCATCGGACAAGGCTGGCAACCGGAATCCCATGGCCTCGAACATGGTGCACGAAAGCGAGCTGGGCAATGCCGCCAAGGTGGAGGAGAAGCTGAACAACCTGTGTCAGGTGCATGACGAGATCTGTGAGATAGGCAAGGCTATGAACGAGCTGTGGAGCTATCCCATATTGTCTCTGATGGCCTATGGGTTCCTTATATTCACAGCCCAGCTGTATTTCCTCTACTGCGCCACCCAATTTCAGTCCATTCCCTCGCTTTTTCGCTCCGCCAAGAATCCCCTGATCACGGTCATTGCCTTGAGCTACACGTCCGGAAAGTGTGTGTACCTCATCTACCTCAGCTGGAAGACCTCGCTGGCCTCCAAGCGTACCGGGATCAGTCTCCACAAATGCGGTGTGGTGGCGGATGATAATCTGCTTTACGAAATTGTGAATCACCTCTCGCTGAAGCTGCTCAATCACTCGGTGGACTTTTCTGCCTGCGGTTTTTTCACATTGGACATGGAGACCCTGTATGGTGTAAGTGGGGGCATCACCAGCTACCTGATTATCTTGATCCAATTCAATTTGGCCGCCCAGCAGGCCAAGGAGGCCATACAGACTTTCAGCTCTCTGAATGATACAGCCGGTCTTGTGGGCGCTGCCACTGATATGTATAATAGTAGCTCCACTCTGCATGACCTGGTGACCACCACCATGCTTACGCCAACTGGCTAAAGGCAAGAGCATCTTGATGTTTTCTTTGGCACCTTCTAGCACTTTTATTTTTGTCTTTCGGGCACCGAATAAAATTATTATCACGAAACAGCAGTCAGGCGTTTGTATTCCTCGCGGGCAGCCTCTAGTTCACCCAGAAGATCGCTGTATACCTCTTGGGCTCCATCGTAATCGAGAACAGCCACGCAGGAGATTTGTGCCCGCTTCTGGAGAGCATAGGACAACTCCCTTCTAGCAAGAGGGAAGCAGTAGGGCACTCTCTGCTGCTGGCAAAGTTCTTTCAAATTCTCTATAGTCTCATCCAGGCCACTTTCACCGGGACAAATCTCGCAATCGGTGGCCATAAGCAGCAGTCTCACTTTGCGTATCCTCAATCTGGCCAAGGCCTCGCGGATTCCCAGAACTAAACGTGGATGAGCACGCGCCTTGATCTCGTTTTTGGCAAAGGCACGTTTCTGGAAGCGATCCAGATCCTTGAGCAACTGGATGGCCAGCTGCTTGAGGCGGGGGCGGGTGCAGTTGTCGCAATAGCTAAGAGGAAATGGAGAAATTAGAAGATTGGGTTGAGATTCCGATAAAACAAACCTTCTGAAGCGGCGGGAATGTATAGAGTGCACTTTCTTTGGCTCTACTGAAGCTTCTTTTGTGATTTCATCTAGGGACAGCTTCTGCAATTGTAACTCCACAGAGGGGTACTCCTCGGAGTGATCTTCTTGAGGGATCTCTTCTGTTTCTCCATCAGCCCTTTTCAATGTGCGGAACCTGCGTATGGACTTCTTTAGCCTAGTCACCTTCTTCTTGGGCACCAGACGCGTCTTGCCTTTGGCTTTGGGTGCCACATAGGAACACCTTGTTATGGTTAGATGGGGCCGCTTCCTGAGCTTCCTGGCCTTGATTTGCCTCTGTGTCTGGCGCGGCTTGACCACAAAGTCCAGGAGCGTCGGCTGCTGCTCCGCTTTTCTGTGCTGGTTTTTGTACTTGGCGCTGCGCGGCGTTATCTTGGCTCCATTATCCTTTTCCTGGAGTTTTTTGTAAGTCCTTTCATCAATAAGATTTATTTTTTCCGAATTTCGAGACATTTTTCTCACAGCGCCATCTCTGGCCAGTGTTGGTAAACTGTTCGCAGCCACTACAGATGATAACAATGAAATCGGTTATAAAAAGGCAAAATGCAGAAATATTGATGTATTTATTTGGCCTTCATGCCAATCCTTCACTTCAGCAAGTGGTTTAAACCTTCTGCTACTTTTTAATTTTAAAAATAAATTTCAACATGTGGTAAACATATTAGAAAAGCTGAACGATCGATAACGCTCAATGATCGATAGACTGTGCGGTGAATTTGATGGGCATATAAAGGGGAAGCACACCAAAAAGCAATTTATTGTCTACCAAAAGCTTGCAGTGAGAAAACCAACTTTTACTTCCGCTTAACCATGAGCTTCGCTGGAAATTTGCAAGAGGTTCTGAAGAAATTGTTGATTTCTGATGAAGATCGCGCTGTTTATACAAAAGATGCTGTGGAAATACAGAACTTTGTGATTGAGGAACTCAAAAAAGTAGATAACACTTTCCGTGAAGTTTTTAACGGGCTCAGCCTGGGCGGTAAGTTATTAATATTAAATTAAATTTTTAAATAAATATTAAAACTAAAATTTATAGAAAATATTTTGACCTAAAATAATTAAATAAAAGTAATGTTTTGTGGCTTTAAGTTTAAGACTTGAGGTTTAAATATCATTTTGTGTAGTAGTTACAGTTTTTATTATGAAATTTTAGGTAGCAAGTTACAAGTTTTTAATGATTGACTCACCATAGCCGGTCAAGTTGAAGTATCTAATCTTTTACAAGCTGTAAATTATCAATTTCCGTTTAAGTTACATTATCTATAAATCATTTTTTACCATTCCCTTCTAGGAAGCTACTTGGATCGCGTCAAGCTTAACACTCCCGATGAATTCGATATGCACATGAAACTAAAGTTCCCACTGAATATCACCCCGGAACGTGACCAGTCAGCGTTTATCTTTCTGAACGCTCCGTTTATAGTGGCCTCCTGCGGCCGCATTCATCGCCTGAAGCTCCAAAGTTGGCTACGCGACGCCTTCCACAAGGTCTTTAACCCGGTCTGCAGCTTTACCAGCTCTAGCCGGCAGACTTACAAGTTGAGCTATACCCTGGAGGGTTACGGTTGTGCTCATACCATTGAAGCCGTAGGTTCCAGCCGCTCCATCAAGTTCGATCTGGTGCCGGCTTTCGAATTTACCGGAGCCCAATGGCCATTGCCCGTTCCGCCGGTCACTGAGAAGGTGCGTCAGGATTGGCCCTGGTTCGCCATTCCGCAGACCATGCCGAAGCGGGCCAAGAGAACGACCACATTCATGGCCATTGCTCCCCACTGGGAGCGGGAGATGATGAAGAAGTCGGACAATATGAAGAATATTCTGCGCCTGATGAAGGGGCTGAGGGATGCTCATGCCCAGAAGCTGCCCCATCTCTCCAGCTACATGCTGAAGACGGTGCTGCTCCATCAGCTCGAGAAAGTGGACTGGCAGCGGGACTTGGGCACTCTCCTGGTGGAGATGTGGAGTCGCTTGGTGGAGCACCTTCAGAATGGCCGGCTGCCATACTATTTGGAAAGTGAACACAACGTCCTAACTCGCATGAATGCCGAACAGTTGAAGAAATGTCGTGCTGCATCTTTGGAGCTTCTTAATAGACTTAAATTGGCCAAAGCCAGTGGTAGTCATCTTGAGTGCAGCCTTTTATTTAATGTAAAATAACAAATTTAATTGATTTGATTTGATTTGCAATGCAACAACATTTAATGTGCATTCCCTATTCTGAAGAATTGTATCCCTTTGTTTATTCCATTCAATCAGAGTTGGATTCTCTGGCTGTACAGAGAAGAAATAAAGCTTATGCCTGCAAAAAATGTTAGACTTTCAGTGCCAATGGGGCAAGAATGTTCTCGGCTTCGCATAAATAAATAAACAAACTTTTGAAAAGGGACAAGAAAGGGGTTAACTTGGGACAGTCGAAGATTTTATACCCTTGCTATTTGGAATTGGATTAGGGGACTGTATCCTCAACTCTTTGGAACAATGGCAAGCTTAAGCTTTGCTTGCATTTTTTTTTTTGTGTTTTTTGTTTAGAAATTTAAAGAATTTACGTCATTTTATTATTTATTTATAGCTACAGCTATGGGTGTTAAATAACTTAACAAGAGACAACTTTGGGCTTACTGGCTACATTTGAGGAGCGGGCGGACAGGCTGCTCTGCTCACCCTGGAATAATTATCAGCACTAAGTACTAGCTAGGAGGGGGCCAAGTCGTTGGGATATCGCTATAACCGTATGCTGCTCTCGATGGCCATGTGCAGCTGGTTAAACTCCTTCAGGTGGGAGAGAATGTCGCTCCGCTCCCGCTCATAGATCTCCCAGTACTTGAGGTACTGACTCACGTGCTGTAGCACCAGGTTGCGGGCAAAGTCAAGGCAGCTCCGCACGTTTCGTGTCCGCCGCCGACAGCTGGTCAGGACTGAGCGCAGCTGCTGCTCGGGCTCGAGTTGGGCAATAACGAAAGCAAAAACGCTTTGCACGTCGATTCGCACGTCGGAGGGAAACACCACAGATTCGGTGGGTTTTGTTTGCGGGAACACAATCAGCGAGGGGGAGATCGGCATGGCCAGTTCCCAGGGTAGATCGTTATTTTGGCTGTCAAAGCGGACAAAGTGCACCTCGGGGCTGCTGAGAAGAGCCGAAACCTGCAGGAAGGCCTGCGATAATACGGCGGATAACGCGCAATCCGGACGATACATAAAGACCACATTGGTAGCATTCGGTAGCTGCAGCGCCTGCAACAGCATTTGCCTGTTGTAGCTGCGGCTGAATTCGGAATCCATGGATGGCATGGCGTTCTTGTGAATCCTTGGCAAAGTTCGGGCATAGAACTGTCGGATAAAGTCCTTGAGAGCCACATACGAGAAGGAGGGATGCTGTTGCTGCTGCGGCATCACGTACAGCGACTCCTCCGCCGCGTCCACAATGAAGACCTGTATGTGCTGATGCTGCTGCTGGATACCCAGTTGCTGCAGGTAGTCCCGGTACCTCACCGAGTCAAAGATAACCACGCCCAGCGAGCGATTGTGGGAAGCCTGTTCCGCTGAATGTTGCCAAATCAGGTGGCCGTACTTAGTGACCATTTTGGCAATCCCAATCTTCATGGCCGGCGTTCCATGGTGTGCGTGGGCCAAGCAGAGGTTTCTGGAGTGCAGGTTCATCAGGTGGGGCACACTCGGCTTGTTCATATGGCTCTGGTGGCTGTACTGCGTCCACAGGTGCTTCAGGTACCTGTTGATCTTATAATAGTTGACCAGCGTGGCTCTGGTTTGACGCCAAGCGGGATAGCAGCGGTCTCCCTGCTCTGTTTCCCAATACATTTCGTTTGGGACTTGGAGCAGCGAGTAGGATTCCTCTGCTTGCTGCTCCATCTTGTTCCAGTAACTCTCACAGCCCTCCGCCTGCTTCCTTTGTGCCGCTGCCATCTCATCGCCCATGACCAGCGGCATCTGACTCATCCGTACGCCCATCGCCAGCACGGGAACGTGACGTGCCTTCATCGCAATGGTCATGGGGGTGCCGTAGCCGTTGGAGAAGAGCGACATGTTCTTGAGAGTGTGGCGCACCCAGCGCAGGATGTCCAGTGTCTTCCATTCGCCGGTCAACGAGCTGTTAAACGTGTGCACCCCATTCCGGCTGTCGATTACCACCAACTGGGGCAGTGCAGTGTCCGGAGCCTTCAGCATCTTCTTGGCACTGCTCCCAAAATTCACGGTGAAGCGGATATTTCTCTCCGGATCCAGCTCCAGCCAGCGAATGGCTGCGCCCAGGTACCGCTTGTACTCCATTTGATCCGGCGATTCCAGCAGACCCAGCACCACGGCATCCGAGTGCTTCCTGATGGCCGCCAATTCCTGGCTGTTGTGCGCCCGATCTATCGGTTGGATCAAGTAGTTCATGAAGCTGGCGAGGTCCTCGAAACTCCACACGCCCTGGTACTGCAGCATCTGCTTCTGGCCGTAGCGCACCACCATCGTGGGCCACTTGTCCGGATAGCCGCCGGCGCCCACGACCCCGGGAGCGGGCTGCAGCGTGCGGCTACAGTTGCAGAGTAGGTGCCAGCAGTCGATCGCCCCGAAGAAGGCGTACTCCTGATAATAGTGGGCCAGGCCATTGAAAACCAGGCGCGCCTGTCGTGCCTCACTTCCCCAGGACACGTAGTAGAAAAGCAGCGAGATCTCGTATTCCGCCGCCTCTGCTCGTATCTGGGGCACACCCCGGCCGGGGCACTCTCTGATGGTCGCCTGGCCAGTCGTGGGGGAGGACGTGGCATCCAAAGAGCCTGCCAAGACCGCCAAAATCCCCAGGTAAGCAAATATTGTCATTGCCACCGGTGCGCGAAGCTAATTAACAACAAAAATAAGAACAGCTGTTTGCCGGCAGGCTGGGCACACTGCACAGCGTAGCCCTAGTTTCAGTACACTTTCCAGCACTGGGCCGACATTATCGATAGCTCCAACAATTGGCCTATCGATTCAACGCTGTTAATTAATCACTTTTACTGTTTACGTTTTTAATTAAACGGTGTTAATTAAATTAACAATAACGGCAGCTATTATTCCACTGCGACGCATAAACGAAGCCGCGCCAGTCGTTGCGACGACCCCATTATCCAAATCGCCCTAGGAAAAAGCCACCAGGAAGTTCCCACATTTAACTGTAACAAGTGCGTGTGTGTGTGTTCGAGGAGAGTGCATATGTTCAGTTCAAGCTCGGTGAATAATTTACAGTTTGGCCTTCCCCCTGTAGAAGCGACAAAAAAAAAAGAAAAACAACAAAGTCGCACGTTCACTCACTCCCACACACACAACAGCGTACGCACCTCGCACGCATACAAGCGCAGCCAGCCCAGCCGATAACCTGCTCGTGTATGTGTGAGGCAATCGCCTCGCAATCAAATCACTGAAAACGAAAACAAAATCAACAACAACAAATACAAAAACAACAATAGGGGTGCCGTCAGCAGCTGTAGAAAGCATCTTGGCAGAAAGATGGGCCTGCTATTGTCCCGACTGTGGCGGATGTTTGGAAACGAGGAGCACAAGCTGGTCATGGTGGGACTGGACAACGCGGGCAAAACGACAATCCTGTATCAGTTTCTCATGAATGAAGTGGTCCACACCAGCCCCACGATCGGCTCCAACGTCGAGGAAGTTGTCTGGCGCAACATCCACTTCCTGGTGTGGGATCTCGGCGGCCAGCAGAGCCTTCGCGCCGCCTGGAGCACCTATTACACGAACACAGAACTGGTGATCATGGTCATAGACTCCACGGACAGGGAACGGCTGGCAGTGACGCGGGAGGAGCTCTACCGGATGCTGCAGCACGAGGATTTGAGCAAGGCCAGCCTGCTGGTGTACGCGAACAAGCAGGACCTCAAGGGATCGATGTCGGCGGCGGAGATATCGCGACAACTGGACCTCACCTCGATCAAGAAGCATCAGTGGCACATCCAGGCGTGCTGCGCGCTGACGGGCGAGGGCCTATACCAGGGACTGGAGTGGATTGTGCAGCGGATCAAAAACAAATGACACGCCACGCCGGATTAGTAGCTAATCAATTACCAACATAGCTAAGCCTGTCTAGAAAAGTAAACTAATTTTGATATAAACAAATTTTTAAGCGTTTCCAAATTGTTTTGAGATGATTACGAAGAGTTGTTGCCAAGCCAATTTTATTTAGTGTAAAATAACGAAGACGACGATCCCCTCAATGATAATGATACGAAAATTGTGCGTGTATATGGATAATGTGTCTAGGAGCTAAGCCAATTATTAATTAACTAACGATACTTCCAATAAAATTACAAAATAAACGTGTTTATTTCGCGTATCATCAATTTGAAAATACAAATACAGCAGTTGGACGTATTCTTTCTCCTCTCTGAGCATTGCCTGTGGTAATTGACACTGTTGGCTCGATGATTCGCTGATGTGTGAGATTGTTTTGTACTCTTCTATCGCCTAAAATAAATACATATGGTTGTGTAAAAGTTAGTGTATAAATTAAAGGCCTGTTACGCCTTGAACGGTCTAGGATTAGGTAAAAACTTTAGCATATTAAAATATATATAGCCACAAGAACGATTTGATCACAACGAAAATAAAAGCAAAATAGGGGGGCACCAAGGAAGAGGTGGTCTAGGTGAGATTGCAGGAGCTGCTGCAGCTCTTCAGGGGCTTGCCCTGGCCCAATGTGATGGTGTCCTCCGGCACCTCCTCGACACTATTGGCATCATGTTGGCGCTGTTAAAACAATATAAAAACAATTAGATTAGGCTCAGCAAGGAACTTGTTAATTAGACCCACCTTAAGCTCCGTGGCCAAGCACCGAAAAGCATCCTCCACATTCATGTTCTCCTTGGCAGAGGTCTCCATCACGAACAGGATCTCAGGTATATATTGACACATTTGGCGCGCCTCCTCAAAGTCCACCTCACGCTGCTCCTCCAAATCGCATTTGTTGCCTATCAGAATGATCAGCACATTGGAGGCCGTGTACCTGCGCACCTCCTCAATCCATTTTTGGAGGTTGGAGAAGGAAGACCGCTTTGTGATGTCATAAACTGCAAGAAAATAAGGTGTAAGTAAACAGTAAACAGTAAACACCCCACGCAACACCTGGCCACCGATACGAAGCCACTAGCTATGGGCTATTAAAATCAGTGCCAGGCGCTAATCACTTTAAAGCATGCAGCCCTTATCGGAACGACTAGGAGCTGCGCTGATAAGGCTGCCGCCGCTAGGCATTGACCGTGACAAATGGATGGGCGTATGCCCCGCAAAGATACGGACGCGACTCACCAATTAAGACCCCGTTGGCCGACCGATAGTAGCTCTGCGTAATGGTGCGAAATCTCTCCTGGCCAGCAGTGTCCCAGATTTGTAGCTAAGAAAGGGCAAAGACAGCGAAATGAATCATTGACGACGGGAGTTTGGGAATATCAGAGATCCACAGCAAACCTTGATTTGTTTGGCCTCCACGGCAATGGTCTTCATGGAGAAGTCCACGCCAATGGTATTCCCGTGACGCTCTATGTAGTTGCCCGTCTTGAATCTGTCCACGATGCAGGTCTTCCCCGTCCCACAGTCTCCAATCAGAACGATCTTGAAGAGAAAGTCAAATTGCTCCTCGTTGGGTAGCGCCATCAGGGTCTGGGGATTGCGGGCGGTCATCCTTGTGTAGTCGCCGTTCTGGGCTCCCTTAACTTGGCCGTTCTTTATCCACAATAAACAACAAAGAGTAAATCAGATGTTAGAGTGCTCGTCAGGTTTTCAGTTTATAATGCTTAAAATCTTCGTAAGAAGCTGGTTACACCTGAACTGCTGATGAATACAGCTTGTCAGTGTTGGTAAATGACACACATTTGGGCGGGGATTTTTAAATACAAGTTATTTATATTGCTCTTAAAAAACTCTTAAAACTTGACTAAAATATCCGATAACTGCTTTCGTTCCAAGTCCGGCACTTGACATCCCTCTGCCGCGAAGCCTACGGGTAATAGGATTAGCAGTTTTTCGTTTACAGGACGATTTAGCAAGGATCTCAGAGCAGGGCCACAGTTTAAGGGAGTTGTGACCAACGAAGACAGTCCTGCCGCCTGTAAGGCACACAGAAGGATGCCCGCCGCAATCGAGGTGGAAATCTCATTGTAGTAGTGTCTCTTCCTCCGACCATCGTCCATTACGCCGTAGGTCTGCTTGAAGATCAGTATGAGATAGGGGGCGTCTGTAAGGTATTCCTTCACATGATTCGTTTGTAGTGGTCGCAGATCCGTGACCCACTGGGGGTGCATTCGCTGGCTATAGTTGATCAGCTCTTCCTGCTCCACAATCTCCCGAATCGATTGCTTGAGCTCTTGGCTCTCCACCACGCAGAATGTCCAGGGTTCTGTGTGAGCACCACTGGGAGCTGTTCCCGCCGCCCTAATGCAGTCCTCTATGATGCTGAGGTCTGGTTTTTGTTGGCTGCTAAAAGAGCGAATGCTGCGACGTCCGCGGAGAAGGTTGTAAAAGATTTTAGCTCCATTCGGGTTAAGATTCTGGCCGGGAACGAAGGGAACATGAGGCTTTTCCTCAAGAGCAGGCTGCAGTTCATCGGTGTCCTCGAAATCTTGAAAGGAAAACCATTGAACCTTGAGATAGTGATTATTTTGTATTCTTTTTATTAAACCATATTTTAAAGTTTTATTTGCATTAAATTTCATTGTTAGATACGGGAGAAAAACACTGTAAAACTTTTTTTATTACTTGAAATGCTCACTAGATGGCGACTTATACCTTCTACAAGCTCCTCGTTGTCCAAAGTGTATTTCTGGGTGCTTCCTTTACGCCTGGACAGGACATATTTCAGGATACCCAAAAGGACCAAGCCAAAGAGGCAGCTGGGCCAATGTTTAAGTAGTTTGGAGCTGCTGAACAAAGCATCCATCTCCAAGCTCTGCTGATCCGTAACTGTTTGTGGTGAAAGTAGAGCAGTTTAGTTGCTCGCGCTGGCTTATCTGCTTTCCAAGTGGGTCAATGTCGTTGCTGATACGGATTCCGATTCCACAGAGAGAGAGAGAGAGATTGTGTGTGATCCCCTCAGTTGTTGTGGCAGCAGTAGGGACAGTGGCTGCCCTTAATATGGTCACAAATCCTCGAGAGTCCTGGCTTTGCCATGGGCACAGGGGAATTCTTGTCCGGCTTGTACGGATGATGCTGCATCATGAGCTGATTGAACTGTTCCTTCATTGCTGTCTTCTGCGGTCCGGCCTTCATGTGAACCAACTGTCTCTTGTGCACCTCCCTCAGGATTTCGATGATCCGCCACTTGGCATCGAAGTATATAAAATCAGGAGCGGCGGTAAGTTCCGTGCGGATCATATCGCAGAGCATTTGCACTTGCTTGAAATTTTGATATTTTGTTACTAAAGGATTATCTCTTTTATCTTCTGGAGCAGCTTCTTTACCTTTCTCCGGTGGACGGCTGCAGGGACAGGGCTTGCTATCCGGTCCATTAACTTTTTTTTCAGGCGATTCCGGTGGAGTCCTGGGACTGGATCTCCCAGATTTTTGTTTTCCCACTGGAACAGAGCCTTGGAGAACGGTATTCATGATTGCTTGGGTCTTCACGCCAGCAAAGGATTGGGCTGCGGATTGGGCAGCTGATTGGGCAGCGGATTTGATGGATTCCTGTGGCTTCATAGGTTTAGCTGGTGGGGAACCTATGGGTGAGTTATCCGATCTCTTAGGATGGCTCTCATGGGCGGTTTGGGGAGAGGCCGTGCCACAATTCCCCTTTTGAGATGGATCAGCAGGATTTCTTTTACAGGTATTTGATTCGTCTCCTGGGTTCATGGTCTTCTGTGGCTTTGATCTTGTAGCGGTCTGGGCCGGACAAGTGGATATTGGGAGCCGACACTCTGATACACAGGGTGATTTCTCCGATCGGTAGGAGCAGGTCAGATCGGTGGTTTTTATATCCTGCTCGTCGGGGTAGTGAGAGGATGCAATGGACACCTTGGAGACCTGATTGTCAGCGGCGATTTCATTGAGACGTTGCTCCTCCGAGGGCGACAAGTTGACTTCGCTGGTCTGCTTATTGTTTATTGTTTGTTTATTGCCATCCTTCTTGGAGATGCGCCTAAGGAGTTCTTTCGGAGAGCAGCACAACTTCCCGGGAAAAGCAGACAAGGGGAAGCCCGTAAAATGGTTCAGCCCATTGGCCAGCAAATCGGGTTTTGTTACACATTTTGGGTTCAGCGAACTGGTACCATTCTCTGCTGCATGGGATTTATTCAAATCCATGCATAGAAATGGCACCAGAAAGAGGAACTCGTTGTAGTAGCGAATCGAGGGCATCAGTACCTCCCCTTTGCTCTGCCTGGCGCTCTCAATGATCCAGTACTCCTGCTCGAACTGCTGGCGCAGGTCCTCGATGCAAGATCGCAGCTCAAAACTGGTCCTGCCGGGAATAGATCGAGCCATGTCATTGTAGCAATCCTCAATGAACTGCGCGTTGCCATAGTAGGGGTGCATGGGATTGTAGAGGTTTTCGTATTTGCAGTAGAGACGGATCAGCTTCCTCATGTCCAGCTCCTCCAGGGATGTTTGGTGTCCCTTCACCTGTTTTGCTTTCTTTGGTTTCTTACTTTTGCCAAAGAAAAAGGATATGAGACCCTTTATCTTCTTCGGTACATTCTGATAATGGGACTCAGAGAGGCCCATTGTCCGAGTGTCGTTGGAGCAGGATGTCGGTGGCTGGCTCTGGAATTCCATAGTTGAACGCTTGGAGCAGAATGGCCTGGGTTTTGGCAATCCTTCCATCTTCCGCCACCTGGCGCTTTGACGGCGTCGCCGTGGTGGTGTCCTCTTCTGTCGGGCGAATCAAGTTCATCAAGGGCAACAGCATTATTTATTGTTGGCGAAATTTTGTGGCATTATTTCGGAAATAAAACGAATGATTTACCTGACAGGGGAGTTTTATGAAATGAAGTGTACAACAAAGCACAACATATTCCTTTTAAAATTCTGTGAAATATTTCAAAATCACCGCCCAAAAAGTGGGGTATTTAGCCACACTGCTTCCCACCATCAGCTGTTTAACAACACATTCCAACACTGGCCCAGTGGCCTTACAGCGAAAGAGCGCGCGAGAGAGAGAGCGAGAGACACTAAAACAAAAATAAGTTCCGTAACAAAAATTATAAATAAAAAATAAGGAAGTAAGCGTTTAGCCGTCGGCCAGCCAAAAACAACAAGGCAGCGCTCCAAAAACTGTCAGCATTTTCGGGTTACAGTCTCAACATTAAATTTGAATCAAATCAGAACAGAGTCAGAATCGTGCAATTGGAACAGCAGCGGTGTGTGCGGGGGTGTTAATTAGCGGAAGACGGAAATTTATTGAACGCGAAAAACGACAGTCAGACAGACAGACAATCAAAACTCCCATTGGACACGAAAGCGAAATTAAAGTGCCGCTGAATGGTGTGCACCGAATAGTGCGAAAAATGCAATAAATCAATGTGGCAGAAGAGGAAGAGGCAGAGCGACGGAAGCAGTGACCACAACAAAGAGAGGAAGACTTAACGGCACTTTGCTAGATTCTACTTCGCGTATCACTAATTTCCTAGTTTAATTGCTCGCAAAATGGACGAGGTCTTCAGCCTGCACATGGAGAAACTGGATGTCTACGACGGCAAGTATTTTGAAAAATTCCGCTTGTAAATCCGTTAAAATATAGAGTAAACATTGGGTCTCTCGGGTGGCGAGAAATTCTGATTAGAAATATATGTAGGTGGCATAAAAACGATAACGATATTAATATAGGGTCAATGAATTGAAAGATATATTTAACTCTGGGAAAAGTAATCCGAAGAATGCTTTGTAGCTTCATAGGTTAAAAATCTAGGCCTTCAAAACAAAACAAAAAAAGTTCACATTAAAGTGGATGACCCACATAGATTTTTATTAACATTATTTATCGTTATGGTGCAATCAGAAACGTAATATTAAACTTATGGATAGTCCCTTTGTCAGGGTTAAAACTAAACATATTCGCAAAATCCCCGCGGGTTCCGCTTATAACATACATGTTAGTAGACTTATTAATGGAATCGCCAGGAAAAGCGTCTTAAAAACAGGTGAATAGTATAAAGTAGATCAGAAGCAGCTCCTCACTAGTCATTGTCGTCGGGATCCGGTCCGGCGAGTATCTCCTCAATGATTCGGTGGCCGTCCTCGGTCTTCTCGCCCTGGATAATCAAGTCCCGGAGCGTGGATATGTGCTTCTCGCCCTGCTCAATCTGGACCTTTAGGGTGTCGTTTTCTCGGCGAAGGTCGTCTATGCGCTTCTTCCGCTCCTCGGCGGATTTCTTTGTCTTCTCGCGTGTGCGTTGCACGGCCTGTTTCGAAATTAATAATAAATCAATATAGTGTGTGGCTATTTTTGGGGCACTTCTGGGGGCCCAGCAACATGTTGAAACAGCTTGCCTCATCTTTTTCTCTGTCTCTGCTGTTTCGCTCTGGCAACCAAAAACTAACATACAAACCTCATTGTTTTTCTGTCTTTTCCGTTGGTACTCCGGATCGTTGACGGCTGGACTCATTGGGGAATCGCTATCCTTACTGGTGGACGCGGCGTTGGCACTTGCAGTTCTCTTCTTGGCCGGCATCCTGTCCGTGATAATCCTGATTTGTATTTAGGAGTTTATTTATTTTACGATCAACTAGCAAAAGATGCAGCGACGGACGTGTTGTTGTGAAATTACACGCCAAACAGCTGTTCCACCGCCGGGCAGTGTTGGCAAGCGCGCCAAGGCCACCCAGCGAACAATAACACTGCGGTATTACTAAACTAAAAATGAAAATCGAAACAAGTAGGAATAATTTGCAAACCGATCAATAGCTCTGGAATAATATTGTTAAACACCTGTCAACCACACAGCCCGACAAGTTTTTCGTTTGCTCATAATATTGTAGCAATACGTTATTTTTATTATTTATCAACTGTTTATACAATTTGTTTGTAAAGACTGATTTCCTGTATGTAGCTGTAGTTGCAATCAGAAATTAAATTAAATGGAATGTAATACGTAATAGTCAATAAATGTTCTGAATAAGCAAAAGTTTAAATTTTCATCGTGTTTTCCATACCCCATCAAACATTTTGTGCACAAGCAGAGACCTGCCAGTGCTTCACAACACTGGAACTGTGATTTACTTGCAACCGGCTTAATTTTTTCCTTGCAAAATGTCTTCGCCTGCCCCCAAATCGCCGGAGCTGTCGGACAAGAGTAAGAAATACGACAGACAAATCAGGTAAGGTTGGGGTTTCGCCGTAGCAAAGTGACATTTCGCTAATGTATGCCCGTTTAGGTTGTGGGGCGAACATGGACAGACGCTTCTGGAGGCGGCCACCGTTTGTTTGGTGAATGTCACGGCCGTGGGCTGCGAAACAGTCAAAGGTTTAGTCCTTCCCGGAATCGGTGGCTTCACGGTGGCCGACGGCAGCACCGTCAAGGAGGAGGACCTGGGCAACAAGTGGGTAGTCTTCATAGAACCTCAGAAAACAGCCATATAATGCATCGCTTCTCTGCAGTTTTTTTCTGGATCAAACCTATCTGGGAAAATCCAAGGCTCTGGCCTGCATGCAGCTCCTCCAGGAGCTCAATCCTGACGTAAACGGCGACTATGTGGAGGAGAGTGCCGACTTCATACTGGCCAATCGTCCCAACTTCTTTGACAGCTTCGATTTGGTCATTGCCTCCAATCTCAACGAGCAGACTTTGCTCCTCCTCGCCGACCGTTTGTGGGAGGCCAATGTCCCGCTACTCTACTGCCGCTCGCTGGGCATGCTGGGCACCATCCGCCTCCAGATACGTGAACATTGCATTGTGGAGGCGCATCCGGATAACAGACAATTTGATCTGCGCTTGGAGCATCCATTTGATGCTCTGCGAGAGCATCTCGATGGGACAGAGGTGACCAGCAAGGTACCCTGGCTGCTGGTGCTGCACAAGTACCTAACTACCTGGCAGAAGCAGCAGGCGAATGGGACTCCAACGCCGCGCACTTACAAGGAGAAGAACCAACTGCGTGACACTATCAGGAACGAGATGAAGGCGGACGAGGAGAACTATGAGGAGGCCATCAAGGCGGTGAATACGGCATTCGGGGCAGGACAGATTCCCACGGGCCTGAAGTCCATTTTCGAAGACGATGCCTGCGAGCAGCTGAACAAGAAGGTGGCTTTTGCTTTATTCCTTAAATAACTTATACATTTTATATCGATTTTGGTTTCTTATTCAGAGCAACACCTTCTGGATCATGGCCAAGGCTCTGAAGCACTTTGTGGTCCATGAAAACCAGGGATATCTGCCTCTGCCTGGAGTTCTTCCGGATATGACCGCCAACACGGACTCGTATATCGCCCTGCAACACATCTACCGTCAGCAGGCACTGCAGGATGCCGATCAGGTGTACCACAAGTGCCAGGACTACCTCAAGCAGCTGTCCCTGCCCGCCGACAGCATTGATGAGCGTAGTGTGCGTCTGCTTTGCCGTGAGGCAGCCGGCTTGGCAGTCATTCGAGGCACCCGCTTAGCTGAGGAGTACGAGAAGAGCTGTCGTCTGTTGCCATTGGGTGAGTGTCTTTCAATGTCGTAGAGCTATGTATCCATTCCAAAACATTCATTTTCTTTCAATTCCAGTTGAGGACAACGAGCTGCAGGGCAACCTCACGGCCTACAACTTTGCACTGCGCGCTTATGAGCGTTTTCTTAGCGAGTGCGGCAACATTCCCGGCGAGTGCACTGTGGAGCAGGACATTGGACGCCTGAAGAGCATCGCTGCCAAGATGCTAAGCGATCTGGGCATGCATGCAACCATCAGCGACGATGTTCTGCACGAGATCTGTCGCTATGGTGGTGCTGAGTTGCATGCAGTGTCTGCTCTTATAGGTAATATTAGAGAAATTGAAACGAAGAATTTTGTTAACTTTTCGGTAATTCTTTCCAGGTGGCTGTGCTGCCCAGGAGGTGATCAAGGTTATCACCAAACAATACAAGCCCATTGATAATACCTTTATATACAATGCCATTACCACTGAAAGTGTCACATTGAAGTTATAAATATATCCTGTTTTGCAATGCAATTTCCTATCATAGTTTATTTTATTTTCTTGTTTTCGACTGGTTTGCCATAATTCTTACGGTAGAATTTTCCAAATAAAAAAACAAAGGGCACCACATAGACGAAATCCATTAAGAGAATCCCAGTGCCATATTCGCAGCCCCGCACAAAGGCCTGTCCTGCCCACAGCAGACCAATGGCGAACTGTAACAGCTGGAGGCCGGTCAAGTAGCGTTTCCACCACAGGAACTTCTGGATGCGAGGGCCCAGCGCACTCAACGCATAATAGCTGTACATAATGATGTGAACGAAGGAGTTTATAAAGGCTGGCACATAAGCTGTAAGGAGAAAAGGATTTAAAGGGAGAGGAACACTTTAAAGGGGAAAAAAATAGACACTCACACGAGCCCGTTGGCGTCCACTTGATGGCAATCCAGCACATGACGAACATGGAGCTATGATGGTACACATGCAGGAAGCTCAGTTGCCTCCACTTGTGCCGCAAAATGAAGAAGGCCGTGTCGGCGAATTCGAGTATTTTCGAGATGTAGAACCACCAAATGGCCGCGGCAATCTGTTTTACAAAGAGGTATGTATATGACCCTCTCAATTTGATTCTGTCAGTCCGGCCTGCGGGCCATGAATAGTTCTCTCTTTTTTCGGAAAATACCCTTGCAAAGAGCATGTTTAACTTTAGACTTAAGTGAATTTTTAATTAACTGGCAGCTTAAACCTTTAACTAAACTTGATTTTGGCAGTGTCTAAATCTTTTTAATAAGCTTTCGTTGAGCTAAACTATCTCAAAATACTGCTAGGTCCTACTACATCTTTCTCAGTCTTATTGCATTCAAAAATAACTTTCCTGCAAGGGTACTTAGAGCTTCGATTTCCAAAGTTCCTCTCCCTCATTTTTTTTTTGTATTTCCCCGCCAACTTACACGCATTTCATGTGGGCTATAGCTCACCCGACATGCCTGACAGGCGAAGCTATAGTCGAGGGCCCGCGATGCCGTGAGGACCTCCAGAAAGATGTGGGCATTGAGCAGGACCATGGCCAAACTGTGGCAGAACAATGGCACTCGCAGCTGCAGCGGCTTGTACCTGTGGGGGGAATCCAGTCCAGCAGCAGTGTGGGTGTCGTTTGGCAATGCCCTGACGGATAGCTGGTTTGACCTCACCTGGCAGCCCATTTGGGGCCGAAGCGCGCCATCAGCAGGTAGAGGGCAAGTATGGCGGCGACATTCCAAGGTGATTGCACCAGTGGCCACGTGCGCGTCCGTTCGTCGGCCAGCTCCTCGAACGGATAACGATAGCTGCCAATTGTGGTGTTGTCGTTGCCATGGTGCGCCATTGGAGAATCTCCGGATGAGACTGACTAAGGCGGCACCCAGACTGGCGACTCATATATACGCTTCTTGGCTCCGCTGATGCGTTGATGGCTTTTCCCCCCCCCCATTTAATTAAATGTCGCCGTTGGAGCATGAACGTTGAGGCAGGTCGGGGTTTTGCCTCTTAAATTTTCACTTAGGGCCCTCTGACTGCTTCTTAAATTTCGGTCAAAGTCAAGATTTTATTTGTTGTTGTCTAAATCGAGATTTAATGGCATTTTGAAAGCAATATTCAGATTTTATTTATGCCAAATGTGTAGAGAAAGTAATAAAGATATAATTCTAAGATTTAACTTAAGAATACATTTTTTTTTATTAAGCTGATATACTCATTAAAAACTATAACAAGTTTAGGTGACTTTTTATCAAGAAAATTGTTTATAAGTCTTAATCTAAAAGTTTGAAATATTTTAAGTTAAATATAGATATGTTTAAGAGTGCCAGTACAGCAGGTACTTTATAATAATTTATGGGAATCATTTCTGCTTTTTCAATTCGTTACCTTCGATATTTTTACCTGAACCATTTTTACCTGGCATTTCAAATGCAGGCTACAATATCCTTTGTTGTCGATTTCCCATTTATTTCGACTCCATTGGAATCTTGATTAAGCAGATGCATTCATTTTTCGATTGCCTCTTAATCAATGAAGCGTTAAATATAGTTACACACGTATATATCTTTTGTGGCATCGTATCATCAATATTGAAAAGTGCAATTGCCATTGCAGGAGCTGCAGAAGCCGGAGGAGGGGCAGGGGCAGGAGCAGGAGCATCAGGAATAACAAGGAAAACAATTGGAAAGCACAATAAAGTGTGCAACGTGAGAGAGGTCTGGCGAGGGTGATGGGCATGGCTAAAGGCGAGGGAGTGAAGGCAGCGAAACCTGAAAGCCAAAAACGAAAAGCAAACTTTTCACTAAGACGTTGCTAGAAAATGTAGCAATCTCCAAAAAATGAATACACTATACAGAAAAGGTGCCTGCCAATCTATCTATCTATCTACCTATATATCAATCTATCTATCTATTTATCAATCATCTATCTATCTATCTATCTAACTGTCTATCTATCTATATATCTATCTATCTATCTATCTATATATCTATCTATCTATCGCTCTCTTTATGTATCTATATTTTTATTCATCCTATCCATCCTATCCATCCTATCTATCTACCATTTCATTTCCTAAAAATAGGGCATTTCCAACTCGATTTCAACACAAAAACTACGACATCAGTTGTTCGCCCTTAGCGCTGTTAGATGTTTGCGCTTTTCGCTGGCTTTTGGCCCTTTCATGTCTCCGGCTTCGACTCCATTTTCTATTATTGTTTTCTTTATTTGTATTACAGTACGTGTTTGCACCTAGGGCACTTTGTGCTGTTGCTGCTGCTGATGCTGCTGCTGCCGCTGTTTACATTTCGGATGCCATAGGAGCAGCTGCGTCCAAAGGGTTGAGCATCGACAACGGGCAGACTTCTCCACTTCCGCCATTGGATGTTTGCATTATTATTATTTTCTGCCGGGCACCCGTAAAGCGCAATTGTATCGCCCCGTTGACCGCAGAAGTTGGACCCCTTTTGATGGGCTCAATTTTGGGGTTTTCGGGAGTGCTTTCCCCGCCTCCTCTTCCGTTCCGAATCAAGCGTCAATTTTCATTAAAATAATGTCACAATTTAGACTCGAAATGGGTTCTGTTCCGGCCTCCGGTCCCCTCTGTGTGGTTAACCGCCTGGCTTTGCCCCATCATCAGTGGAGGCTGCACATGTCCTGCGGCTACGCATGTCCTGTGTTTCGGCTTCCTCCACTTACGCATTTCCTCTCCCATATCCTCCAGTATTCGCGTGCTTACGTATGCGTATAATTAAGTTAGTGTGATTGTCATAATCAGTCCTTACACTATCCTTTTGTATTTTTGTAAAGGTTTAAACGATCTTTTTACGGTTTTAAAATAATTAAAAAAGTGTTTGCAATAATATTTCTTAGATTTGAAATTCTATTTTACTTTTTATTTAAAATTCAATAAGAGTTTTCTGTTGATAATAAATATATTTTATATAATTTTTTTTTTGTAAACCCTTAGAAATAATCCCTCTTTTCGATTCCCCCATCATGATAACTACACCTTTACCATTGCAGTTTTTGGTACCCAGGCGAATTGTAAACGAAGCTGTTGGCACATGGCAAATATATTTGATAGATGGATGTCCGGATGCCTAACTGATGTTATTTCGTCGTGGTCCCTCCATTTGGCATTTGTGAATACCGATGCATTGAACCGTTCACAGGGACCTGAATAATTTAGTTTAGTGGGTGGGAGAGTGTAGGGTTTAAGGGGGAGGCTTGAGTTCACAGAGGCATTTTTGGGCAGTGGGTGGTGGTGTTGGTTCATCGTGCTAACATTGTCGCCCCGAGTGGATCACGTGGTTTATTAAATAGATTACGGTTTTGTGCCGCACAACTTCATGGTGCACATTGTACTAGACAAATATTGAAAGTCCCCTCTGTAAAACACTGAAGAAAATGAAAGCCACCTGGAATTTAATTTATTATTTAATTTAATATATAATTGAATACATTAAGGGGGTAGTTAAGGGGGTGGTTTGCCTTGTCTTTGGATCACTTCAACGAATAGGAAATCGATCATAACTAAGCCAAAAATGCTTTAATTTCAGATCGGACAACTGTTTTGTGTTAGTTTTTATTAGGTTAAAAAATCTGCTTACTAAATTTAACATTTAAAAAAAATCAAATTTTGGTTAATTTCTCACAATTTTGATGATGTAACCCCTTATAAAATTTTTGAAAATTTTGAAATTTTTTTTTTCTTAGCTGCCAAGCTAGAAAGACTCGCCTGTTGATGCTGATCAAGAATATATATGATTTATAGGGTCGGAAATGACTCTTTCACTGCGTTTATAGCTTCTGACTGAAATTATGATACCTTCAAGGGGGCTTTTAAATTTAAATAATAATAATTTTTGGGAAAATAAAATTTTCAATAAGCCAAAAATGCTTTAATTTTTATCTAAAAACTAATATTAAATTTCTGAAAATAGTTTTAAAATTATTAAACATAGTTAAATCATTTTCTTTTCTTTTTTTCAGTGCCTTATGTCAACGCTGGACTACTGTCAGTGTTCTCCATTGTCAGCAGTAGTTGCATGCATGACGAATTCATGGCGGTTCATTGCCGTTTTATCATCTTTGACCCCTCGCTGGACCCTCGCATGCCTGCACATTCAAAACTGCGGTCAAGGGGGCACAGTTGAAGGGTTAAATACAAAAAAACATGCATACAATATGCAAAACTTTGTTCAGCGGGCGATAAGAACTGCATTGACAATTTGATACAACTAAAAAATGTGCGAGGAAATAAATACACAGAGCTGGAAACATTGTATCTTTTGGTATATATTTTTATTAAACCTTACATTTTTTGTTTGAGAACAGAAATATATTATTTAAAGCAATTTCCATAGCTTTTTTAAGTATTTATTTGCAGAAATAAATAAAAAATAATGACAGCGCTTCTCAATAACCACAATTTCGATTTGCAATGAAATTGCTGGCTTTTCGACATTTATGAAATAAGCAGTTATAATGCAGACCCATAACTGGGCAGACAAATGGACGGCGGGAATGGAATACAAAAATAAATATCCTTCTTCTTGCAGGGATTGCTGCACCCAAAAGGAATGGACACATTGCACTGGCGGTGGCCGCCGCATCATTATATCAATATTCTGGTGTATTGACAGCGGCGAGCAATTGATGTCAGTGACAAAGGGGAAATATCATCAAGCAAGTCAAGCTGCCATCGAGAACGATGCTTTCTTCCCTTTCTACCACCAGTTTTTCCTGGAGTTTTCTTGGCATTTTCACTGAGCGAAAAAGTTTTCTAGGTTTGTTATTGAAAGACAAACATTTGTCTTGAAAAATAATAATAATAATATATTACAAATAAATATATAATTTATATTTAAAATATATTTAATGTCTATAATTTAATTCCTTAAGTACATCATTTTTTCTCCACGTTTACTTCCCCCGCTTATTGTGATTTTCTTGTTGCTATTTTGCGGGAGATTATTGAATGGGAATGACCTGACCCAATGGCATCTCCTAGGACTTCCTTCTCCTCCTCCCGAGCCAAGCCATTGATGCTGTTGTCCTGTCCATGTCCATCCACTGTCGACTCGAATCGCTTTTTGTGTTTACTCGCATTTCCTGCACATTTCCGGCTCAATGGGAATGTGGCAAACTGTGTCCTTCCCCCCTTCCGAAAGCTTGCCGAGCCATGAGAAATTGTGGCCATGATTGGTAGAATACCTTGGGTTTCGTCTACGGCATCCCCAGCTACAGGTTTAATTTAGATTGAAATACAATTGCTTTTGTTGGAGTTTTTTTTGGTAGATGATATTTCCCCAAGAAGTCTTAGAAGGTATTTAAATATTCTATTTTATATTATTAGAGAGATGAATTCCTTGTTCTATTCTTTGCTCAGCACATAAAATGCATCAAAAGGAAGCCATCACTTCTCTTATGCGAGTCATTTGTCTCTTTGCGTCTTTCTTTTTCCCTGTTGGCAGGTGCAACATACTTTACCTGTCCCGCCTTTGGCTTGCTTGCCATCACCCATACGCCATGTTGTCGCATCGCCTGGATACGCGTTATTTACAAAACATTTGTCATGGCTTTGGCTCGCTTAGATCGGAAGTGGAAGTGGAGACCCGGGGCAGGGGGAAGATGTGATGGGTTTGAGGATAATGCCATCTGCTTGGCTGAGTATCGAATGCATTTTCGCTGGGGTGACCGGGAGACGAGTGAAATTAATGGTTTGCCACTTTGTCATCACGGTTTGAAAGTCAATTTGGCATTAGATAGGTTGGGTTTTCGGGAGTTGACTTAGTTTCTGGAGTGATCGGGATATATTACTCAGTGTGAGGGAGATAAAGTAAG